ATTGTGAAATATTTATTTCAAATGACAAATTTTGTATTGAAGCATGGTGTAGCATGGGTAACAGTCTTCCCATGGGTAACTCGTAGGTGGGCATATTTGCATGTGGGTGGACCCGCCTGGAGACGGATAGAGGAGCAGTGTCTCTGTTCCTAAGACCATCAGGAATATGTGTTTTCCGATGGTCTTAGGCGACCCCTCATTCGACCCCCCAAAGGGGTCTCGACCCACAGGTGGAGAACCACTGCTCTAGAGCATCAGCACCCTGCAGGGTTCACCATGTGAGAGAGCTGTCCCCAGTCGGGCATGCACCTGCCCCCTCCACCTTCACTCCTGAACCTGGGAAATGAGCACCTCGCAGCACAGGGGCCTGGCTGTGAAGTGGTAACACTTACTAGCAAGTGAAGTGGTCAAGTGTGATGCCAGGCAAGGGGGCACTGTGGGAGGAGTGCACAGCCCCTCGCTAAAGGAGCAACCACGTTGTCCAGCCCTGGGCTCCTTTGTTTCTTCTTCTGAAACCAGAAACCCAGCCTTCAGGGGAACTCTTACTTTTGACAAATAAAATCAAAACACATCTGTGGTTGCATTTTGCTGAGAGGAGAGGGTAGTCAGACGATGCTTGGGGGTCTCTGCCCACTTCCCAGCACACACCCTGGTTTGTTACTCCCCTTCCATCTACTCTTGGCCTCTGTCCAAGAGTCAGCCCCCCAGGGGTCCCCCTCATTCCCCTGAGTCTCACCCCTAGCTTCTGAGGAGCAGGACCTGTCAGGTGGCTTGGAGGAGCCTGGGGGAGCAGGCATGAGCCCTGTGACTGGAGCAGATATATTGGCACATTGAGAGCTGGGGTCTTGTGCCCAGCTTACAGAATGGAAGCTTAAGACTCTTTCAGTCAACGGCTACCTAGCCCCTCGCACAGGTGGGAGGGACCCAGTATCCCCGCTCCTGTGCATACATCTTCCCCTTGCCTGGCCCCCTCCGCTGTCACCTGGGGAGGTTCCAACTGAGCTACAGCAGAAATGGTGTCTGAGGGCAAGTTTGTGGGAAGGGCGTCACCCAGGCAGCTTACCCGCACCTTACTCTGCGCCCTAATGAGCGCGTGCCCCGCCCCTGCCTACCGCCCCTAATGGCTGCGACCCATAGGAGACACCTCCCAGTGGAGGGACTCCCATAGGAGTCTCTTAAGTCGCCCAAGGGCCGAAGGGAGCACCCGAACCCCTGACAGTTGGCAGCGGTGCGGCTGGTGTCCTGGGCAGCGCCAGCCCCTCCGGAGGCGGCCGCGCAGTCCCAGCGCACAGGCAAGGGCAGCCCCAGCGCCGCCAGGCCTGGGTGCCCCGGATGCGCACCTGGCGGCAGTCCCAGCCAGGTGTCTGGTCTAGAGGCCAGGAGGATGTAGCCGGCCGGGTTGGCCTCCGGGCCGGCCCTGCCAGGACTCGCAAGCGGCGGGTGAGCCGGCTCAGCTCACGTGACCCGGCCCGGCTCCCCGGAGTCAGCGGTGACGTCACATCGCCTCACAGCGCGCCGCGCGCCCATTGGCTGCGCCGCGGCCCGCGGGGCGGGGCG